GGTAAATCCAATCCACAGGAGCACATTATTGCTATTAACAATCAGCTGGCAATAATTGGCTCCACTGGTTCACTCAAGTGTAAGCTAATGGCGCGAATGTTCAAAGATATCGCCTTAAGATGGTACATGAGTCTACTCTGATTGTTAATGGAAAGTCAAGCAGATCTAACTAAGAAAATGATACAACACTTTTCAGCCAATAAACGCCTTAAGGTGTCAACCACCACCTTTTTAATGTTAGACAAAGGATCATGTAAAGGATAGTGTCGCTGACCTATAATTAAGGAGTCAAGTAGAGGATCATGTAAAGGATGAGCCTTTAGAGCCTCAACCGCTCTCTCAAGCAATCTGGGATGACCAAGTTTCAGATATCTTCAAGGCACCATCACTCACAAATTACAAATGTAAATCCGATCCATAGGAGCGCGTTATTGCTATTAACAATCAGCTGGCAATAATCAGCCCTACTGATTAACTCAAGTGTAAGCTCATGGTGAGAAAGTTCAAATATGTCGCCTTAAGATGGTACATGAGTCTACCCCGATTGTTTGTGGAAAGTTACACATATCTAACTAAGAAAATGATACAACACTTTTCAACCAATAAACACGTAAGGTGTCAACCACCACCTTTTTAACGTCAGATAAGGGCAGTCAAAATCCATGCATGAATACTTGGCCAGGTTCAACAAAGAGACCATAGAAGTCTGACATCTTAACCAAGAATTGTTCGTCAGAGCTTTTCACCATAGGCTACGAGTTGGCAGTTTAATGAATACATGGCTAAGAAGTCGGCTTCCAACATGGAAGAAATCTTTAACGAAACAAAAGTTTATATAAAAGGAGAAGAGAGAAACAAGGAGAAACGCTTAAGAGATACTACCGAAAAAGCCAAAATTAAGGAAGAAGGTACCGAGAGGAGACAAGAGCCTTCCCAGTATGCAAAAGAGGAAAAATTCAAAACATAGCGCCTAAAGGCGAGAAGTCATTACATAGAAAGGGGGGGGGGGTACAAAATTAAACTCCCCAAAACAAAATAAAATTACATAAATGTATCCTTATCGGATGACTAACAAAACAATATAGAACTAAGCAGCCGATTTCTCCTTAAAGTTGTCATGGTTGTCATTATCCATACCAGAAGGGTTATCATGGTCTGATGGAGGAGCTTGAGTCTTCTCCCCTTCCTCAAGATCTACAAGGCGGCCATCCTGCACCACCTTGAAATAATCCATCTCGAACAAGTCCAGATTCGGATAAAGGCATAATGCATGATCTTTAGCCCGGCCAAAGTCTTCATCCATAGCTGAGAGGACTTCCGTCTGGGACTTCTTGAGAGCCTATTTGAGATCATCACTTGCAGTATTCACAGATTTAAGCTTGTCGGATTTCCCTTTGAGTCTTCTCCTCCAAAAGGCTCTTCTCCAAAGCAGTTATCTTGTCAGATTTGACCTTTTGGTCATCCTTTAATTTGTTTATCTCCTTCTGGAGCTTCAACTCATTTTGCTCGAAGTCATCATCGAACTCAAACAAATCCCTTGACAGAGTAGCACACCTCATAAGGTAGGAACTAATGTTATGAAATATCTTCTGACGACCTATGGACCTCACCTTCTTAACATCCTTGTTCGCTTTGAGATGGTCATAGAAAAAATTAATCCCATCAAAGCTGTAGGACCAAAACTTAGACTCCCCAGTCGGGTCGGAGGCTCCCTCCTTAGAGTCCTTCATCAATGAAGCAATTTCCGTATCATCCCAACAAACATCGTTACTCATCAAGGTCATCAGTCTCTTAGGAGTACCATGATGATCCTCCTTGGGAATATGGGGGAATTGAAGATTGGGGCTCAGATGGGCCCACAATTGCCTTGGTGCCTGTCGCTTTCTTCCTCTTTAAAAGACGAGTTTTAAGGCCGACGAGGTCCTATTTGGATGGAGTGGCCCCTCTGATTCCTTTCCTCGCAGCACGGGAAGCCTGCATCAATATCTTCCGTTTGGCAACACTGAGATCAGTCATCCTATTTGCAAAAAAGAAAAAGGAGAAGGAATTACACACAGAATAATACGAAGCTTATGGTATATGGACTAAAGGATTATAATATAGAACATTTACCAAGGAAATCTGGAAGTTCTTTATCACTCATAGGCATCAATTCCTTCACCCTCATCATTCGAAAAGAGTCAAGGACTTCCAAAGACTAGATATCTAGCTCACTTAATTTCTCAAAGGAGAAACCATAAATCGAAAAGGGATCCCGGGTCCAGTAATGAGGGAAGCGGGGGTGACCTTCCGGGGCCAACAATGCTTGCAGGAACCACGACCCACACTTAACCCGAACGAAGCGGTCTTTAAAACCTTTGTAGTTGTTGGTGTAAACTTGGAGAAAACTCCTCTGAGAGATTCCACTAATTTGAACCCAGCTACACTTCTTGACTCCCTTCACCTTGAATAATGAAAAGAACAAACCCACATTATGGATAATGTTTAAGGCCTCACAAACCCTTTCAAAGGCCTTTATGAAACCCCAACTATTTGGTCGGAGTTGAGAAGGGGCCACATTCATGGCTTTCAGAATGTATATTTCAAAATCCTAGAAAGGGATACAAACTTGGAAATCCTCTAATACTCCTAGATAGAAATAAAAGAACTCCTCCTTAGAACTATAAGGATGGAGAATGCATACTCGCTCTCCAGGAGTGCACGCCTCCAACAGGACGTCATTTTCGTTCCTGGTGGAAGAAATATCTCTCAGGGAGAGAAACTTACTTATCTCCACTTTATCAAAAACGCTACTCTTATAGCCCATTACTTCTAGATCAAAAGGAGCAGAGGTTTCATCACCATCTCCACAGAACCTGAGGATGAAGAAGTGGAGTCAGAATCACTTTCAGAAGTGAGGAACTCGCCATAAACTTTATTCATGACCCGAGTATATTCATATACACTTAAAGCAGTTTGCATCCATCGCATGCACTCATCCCATAAAGCTTTTCTTTCCTCGGCACTTGTCAGTTTTAAAACATTACCAGATAGTCACACTCTCTTATGATAACCATCCTTATGAAAAATAGCAGTAGATAGAAATTAAAAAGAAATTAGAAGAAGAGAAATACTTGGTAAAAGCGTGCTTGATGTTTGAAAAAGATTTGCTGATGAAGAGAGCATTACAAAAATCACAAACGGTAAAGAATAAGGAGGAAAACTAGTGTTTAAATAAAGAAACTCAGTGAATAGTGAATCGAATTGAATAGGCACCCTATTAAAATCATCATTACGCTAGAAAGAGAAAATCTCTACAAAAAATCGTGACTCATCGCATGCCAACCACATAACTAAAATTACGATCCAAATGGAGGGTAAGTTCCGGGTTCTTCGTGAACGAGCACCTAGCCCCATAAAAAAGGTTTGTGTTTGGGGGGCTTGTTATATCCCCGGGAACTTCAAAATGGTAGCCAGGACCTCATGCCGGAGGAAGCATAGGGCGGAAGGTACCTTAAGGACTCTGGTTAATGAAACATGCATAACTCCGGGTAGGGTTGATAGTTATGATCAGAATCCTTGCCTGAGAACCACCCTCCAGGGCGCGACCTAAACATTAATGGAAGGGTCACATGTGGAGCTCAGACGTAACTCCCAAAACGGTCTCCAGCTCATTAACATTGGCGTTAGAAGAAGTTAATTACGCCAATCATGGTTGACGGTGGACGTTGCCAAGCAAGCATAGCTTAGCAAAATGAAGAATCACTTCATAAATGTAACTCTTAAATGAAGTCTACATAAGAGGCTCTTTCTAGAGGGATAAGCAAGACATCTATTCTTGAGACAATACGCACTGCAAGCGTAGCTTTCAAATTCTCAATCATATCTACAGAAATCTAACTTAAAGGCTGCATTATCCCTTCTTATAAAAATTAATCTAATTTCATATTTCTAATTATTTCACCTTGGCCCCAACTTACCTTTATTTCTCACCACTTTACCCCATTTTTCATTATCCTTATTTCATCCAAAATCTCACCCTCCTATTTTTTTAATTAATTTAATTAATTAAAAATTTAATAAATATCCCAAAAAATATCAAATAATTCATATAAAGATTCCGACACAAAAATAAAATCAAATAAGATATTTAAAATTCAACTAAATAATTTAGTAAATATTTAGGACGTTATATCAAATACATAATTGATGGTATTCATATTCACGAGTATCTGTGTTCATTAATAATTGTTAAAATTTCTTTAATATTACAATGTTGAATATAAAATTATTATTATTATTATTATTATTATTATTATTATTATTATTATTATTATTATTATTATTATTATTATTATTATTATGTTAAATATTTTTGTTATTATTATTTTGTTCTAAACTTAAATTTTTTTTTGTCTTTAAAAGTAAGATAAATAAATTTTAAATTTTATTTTAAAAATAATTACTTAATTAATATTAGTCCCATTTTTAAAATAAACCCTAAATCCATGAGATCCTCATTTTAAAATTTCTACAACATTAGTCCACCTATCCAAATAACATTCAATATGTAATGGATTTGGTGATGTGGCAGTTCAAAACTGTGATGATTGTAAAATATTGAGCATTTGAGCTATTATTTCTACTCTCCTGTGATAATCTCATGGCATATTGGAATATCAAAAAGATTACTTTTTTCTAGATACATGGCGCACAAATTGCCAATAGCGTAAAAACTAAAAAAAATGTATTACTTAATAAAAATATATTATGAAAAAAGTTGTTATAATCATTGTTAATATTTAAAAAATAATCTAAATAATAATATGATTATTATAATATTGATAATAATAATATATTTTCTAGATACACAGCGCACAAATTGGCAATAGCGTAAAAACATATATTATGAAAAAAGTTGTTATAATCTAAATAATATATGATTATATAAATAGAAAACCTTATTGATGCTCTCTTCTTCAAAAACACTCTGACAGCTTTTTCACTAGCTAAGTTTCGCTATGGCTTCACAACAACAATTCCGTAATGTAGATCCAACAATTTGGCTAGAATTTGCTGGAGATTCTTTCACAATTCCGAAACTCCATTCTAAAGTATATTATTTTACAATAGGCCATTTAGAACAATGTCCTAAAACCCCTAGCACTCAAGCACCCTCCCTCTTCAGTCCATTCATTATTTGCACAGTCTCCTCTGTTGATCTCCTTGCAGATCCTGAAACTGATCAAATCTTTGCAAAACTACTCCTCACTCCCGTCATTGACGCAACTGTTGTTCCTCTCGAGGTTATCAATGAAGAAGACAATGGTGATCATGTTGTTTCCTGTGCCAAGACTCTAACTATTTCTGATGCTAACAATGGAGGTGCATTCTCTGTACCTAAGGCCTGCGCCAATTTAATCTTTCCGCAGCTTGACTTGACAACTTCATTGCCGTCTCAAGAACTCTCCGTCACAGATGTTTGCGGTGTTGTCTGGACCTTTTCCCACGTCTATCGCGGGAATCCCAAGCGACACTTATTCACCACTGGCTGGAGTGCATTTGTTGACAAGAAGCAACTCGTCGGTGGGGATACCCTTGTTTTCATTAAAAACTCGGCTGGAGAGATATTTGTTGGAATCCGCCGCAAAAAAATGTCTGGTGCCCCTAATAAAATAATCGATCAGGCGGTTATCAATGCAGTAGAATTGGCTGTGAAGAATACACCATTTGAAGTCTTGTGTTATCCAACTGTTGATGGTTTTGATTTTGTGGTGGGAGATAAAGTTGTTGAGGATGCAATGAAGATTGATTGGAAAACTGGAATGAGAGTTACTCACAAAGTGAAGGGATGCTCAACTTTTCATGGGACAATATCTGCAATCTCCCATTCTCATCCATGGCGCATGCTAGAGGTAAATATAATGTTCTCTTCTTTTTATTTTATTATAATATTTCAAATGCATAAATATTAACATCCAAGTTTGATACATGATTTTCAATAATTAAATAATTTGCTTCATGAAAGTAGTAGCTTTGTATTGAAATATTATTATTTTCATCTCATTATTATAGATTAAATGGGATGAACTCAACGTTTCGGAGAATCTAAAATATGTAAGTCCGTGACAAATTGAACCTGATTTTGACATACCTCTACTGCATCAACTATTCCCTTCAACAAAACGGCTAAGAGCTTCTCAAGAGTTTGGCTTATTAAGTGATACAAAGAGAACTTCTTCAGTTTCAATGGTTTCATTGGAACCCTTGAACCAAACACTTTTGAATTTTGATGGCATACTAAGAGACGGGCAAAATCATTTTTCCACATCAACTACACCCAACTCTTTGAAAGATAGTTCATTTGAGAAAAGTTTAATGAAAGAGTCTAATAATGTGCCAACTGAGATAAACACTAGCGGTCATATATTTGATAACCGTGACAACTTGAACTCTTCTAAAACAAAGTTAATTGATATCCACAACAACAACACCGAAATAGTTAGACCTGATTATATAATATTATTTGGTAAGATGGTGCGGTCTTCTGAAAAAAATTTGGATGATTCTGCTATTATACGAGCTGATGGTCATGAAATGAGCAATAAAGTTGAAGATACAATCAAATCTATTGACAAGAAATAGTTCAACAAATTCTTAGAAAATAACTATGTGGCTAATAAGAAGGACATGTATGTTAATTGAGTTGAAATTTTGATATTCAAACGATGAAATCATTTATTAACGTTTTACATTTTGCCCTTACCTAGCTTTTAATTTAAGTGTTCTGGCTACTTATATATTGTTACGTTGAATCTAATAACAACTCTTCCTATTAGAGAGGTGTTCATGTTTTTTCATGATATGGTTAGATACTTGTGTGTTTTGGCTTTACTTGTCATTTCAAAATGCAAATATCAAAATCTTGCTCTAGCGAGGATCTCATGTGTTCAATATTTTTTTTTGTTATAATAACAATATACAAAACCTTTATATCTTGTAATGATGTGATAAGAGTTTAAGAGTTCCAGCTTAAAAGTTGAGAATTTCTTTCTCCACTCATGAAAAAAATATTTTAGGATATGCATATTCGAACAAACCTTATTTTTTTAATGAAAAAGTGGTTTGAGATATGCATTTCCGAATTTTACTCTGTTATAAAAATTTAAAAATACAACTAAAAATCAAATAAAGTTAAACTAAGTGTCTAAAAAATATTTCGATTTTTTTTTTTGAAAAATATGAAAATGAAAAGTAAATCAAATAAAATAGAAAAATTAAGGAATTTAGAGTTTTTAGGATGAGACATCTATGTTGTTCCAAAAGAGTGGATTTTGATCCTTGATTTATTTCAGATGAATTGATACGGTAAAATTTTGATTTAGAGTCGATTTTCCAAAAAATCGAGTTTTTTTACGTTAGGTCGCGTAAAAAACACAAAGTCTAGAATACTGAGATTAATTAGTTACATTTTATTTTTTTTAATAAATATATCAATTAATACAATTGATACACTTTGATTCTAATTGATACAAATATTTAAATACTTGAGATATGCATATGCAAAACTCCTGAAAATGAAATATTAGAATACTTCAGATATGCATATCCGAAAATCCCTGAAATTAAATATGATATGTGTTCGGATATACACATCTGAAAGGTATCTTCAGGTTTTCAGAAGTTTAACTCAACATATAGAGGTGGACAAAGAAATTCTCCTAAAAATTATCTAATAATGATCATATTGGTCCACAATACATAAGCAAGTCATGTCCAAAGTAGTTGGGGCCATTAATAATGTACTTATATCGTCTGTCCAAGATGCAAAATTGAGTAATCAAGGAAACAAATCAATGTTTTTCAGCACAATTTCCACCAACATTTCTTTAGTTCTGGCTCTCTCTTTCATTTTCCCCATTCATTCTTTTTAATTTACAGGCGATCATCTTTTATTACCTTTTAGGCACAATCAGAGTAAGTAAACTGCTTTTGAAATATGATATCTACTATTGAAATGTATTTGAATTAAGTTGTAATTGTGTTTTCTTAGATTAGGATTTTTTAAAATAAATTTTGAATCAACATAACAAATAGAGGTTAAAATAAGCTATCTGGTTGACCGATATTTATGTCGATTGTGATTTTAATCAAGTAGTTGAAGAACGAAGATATTCAACCAAGGATTAACTTCAATGATTGTGTGTGTGTGTGATATATATATATATATATATATATATAT